AAAACATACAACAGCGGGGATTCGCTAGTGGTCACCCACCTAACTACTAATCCGCCGGTACACTGCTTGTATATGGCTGAGCGGACGGGAAGCCTAATTCTCAGTGTCCTATGGTCGTATGTGAAGGGATGGGAAAGAAAATGCAATATGTACTGAGCGTGACTACCACCACATAAAGCAAATCCATAGCCGCGTCTAGACGTTCATCTCATTCAAAGGAAAAGTTGAAAAGATATCCTCAAGTCTACATTGCCACAAAAAGCTTATATTCGCAAGTTGTCAAGGCAATGTAGCCTTCTAGGCTTTTTTAGTCTTGGTCTTTGTAGACATGGGTGTACAGCTACTCTGTTGGATGGCGTGCGTATGTTCTTTCGTGCGTAATTAACTTGATCCTTTTCAATAGTACTGACTTCCCACGTATCGCTCGATCACCTCTCCACCATGCTTTTGCATCCCTGCGCGTTTCAGCCCTTCAGAGGTCTTCGGCTCTGGTACCCATACTCCCGTCTCACACGCGTAGTAAATCCTCCTGTACTGTTCATCCTCCGGTCCTTCATCACCCCACTCCGCTTTCTGGCCCGGCGCGTGATATGAAATGTGCAGTTTCCCCGTCTTACCCGTCATCTCAGACGTAAGCATGAAGGATTCAAGAACAGGCATGCAATCAACGGCTTTTGCGAGCGCGCCGAGAAAAGGATCAAAGGTTTCTGGGTCGGGGTGCTGCCGGAAGTCATGCCAGCTGAACTCGCGCGTATCGACACTCCCGACAATGCCGCGCACAGGGTCGTCGTGCGGATCGTCGGCCGGTGTTGGACCAGTGAAGTACCATTTGCCTGATGGAGCGACCATGTCAAACGTGATGTCGAAGGACTTCAAGTGTGGCCAAGACGGTGGCGTCGCGTTTTCGTCTGATGGCCAGAATAGCGTAGGGTCGACGTGCGCACTCAGGGTAAGGGTTGTAAGACATTGTGAGAAGGTTCGGATTGATGAACTGAAGGGGTCGTATGTGTAGCCTTCTGGCACAATGCTCGGAACTGTATACCTCTGATCTAAAGGAGTGCAGTGTACAAAGACAATGTTGGCAGAATGGAGTGAGCGGAAATGTGTCGGCGAGAGCTTATAAGCAAATTCAGCGCGCGCCTCACCGCGCGCCTTGGGAGATGTCGCCGGTTCCCACTCTGGATCATAGTCTGAATCCAACGAGTCCTGATCAGACCCCGCGTCAGAACCAGCCTCGTAGTCTGGAAACTCCCAGTCCACTGTCCTGAGCTCTGGCATTGCCACTGCTAAATCTGGTGCAACGCTTGGTGCAAGGCTTCGCACGCCTGTACGCTCGATAGTGAGGCGCTGCAGATTAGACAATGTAGGCAGATTGTCAGGTTCAAGAAGGCGCAGGTACGACTCTGCCCAACGAGCGGATTGAATATCTCTGCTGAGACCATGCTCAATCTCGAACTCATCCACTTCTCGAGCGTCGGTCGGGGACGTAGCTCCCACGATGGTAAGCCGCACTCCATTCTTCACACCGTTGTCTTCCCAGTTTCGCAGCACCGTGAAAAGGTCGCTTATAGCTTTTGTAAATGCCTCGTTGTTGGCATGTTGATCAAGTCGCGACTCCTTGTGTTCGTATGCTTCTTCCGGATATGTTGGCAATTCCACTTCGAAACTGATCCAGGAAAGGTAGTTGCGGCGATTTCCTGTTACGATCGACTGAAGCGATTCCAGCTCATCGCTTTTGAAGCCTAGACGGTGAAATGTAATGATCTCGACTGCTTCCTTCCAAGTGCGATTGAGGATCGCGAGGCGAGGAAATTGAGATGGCGAACCATCGGACTTGAAAGATTGTCCTGTCGCGGAGGCCCAGTTTTGCTGGTCGGGGTAACGCTCTGCGAAACACACAATACGATTGATCAGCTCCTGTGGTAGTTTGTCCATAACGCGAAAGAGGTAGGGGAGGGAGCTCACCAATGTTGCGGGAACGTGTGGGGTAGGTACGCGGGAGTACCGAGGCGCTAGCAGGGGTTTGCAAACAGACTAACGTGTGAAAGGGGAGGTGAGTTTGTGTATTATAGCAGAGCACAGCCTGGATGAGGACAGATTGTTGCATGTCACGTTGAAGACATGCTAACATGTAGCCTGCCCGCGGAGAACATCGCAAGCATGGCAAAGCGCTATGTGTGCCAATGAACGATCGGGAGGAGCGCCAGCGTGAGATAAAGCCGCCACAAGCACTGCTGGCTGGCCAGCCATGAGTTGATGAATACGACACATGCGCCCTCAATAGTCTGCATGTACAGTCTGCCTCCCGGTATCTCATAGTAACTGGAAGTTGGCCAAGTTGCAATCCAGAAACCATAGATCACATGGATTTCAGTCTAGATCCAGCAGTTCTGAAAGGTCATGTACAAAGCCAGAGCCTTGGTTGCCTCGATGCTAATACGTCCATAGCCCTGCCGTCAGACTGGAATATCGAGGAAGTTAGCCAGCATGGAAGTTCAAGTTGGTCCACGGGCTACAAGCTGAGCTTGGAAAAAGATGGCGAAGAAAAGGAGTTCTTCTTCAAGGTTTGTGGCCTGTAATGCTCCGGTACTCGATGCGTGCCGCTCATTACAGACAGGTCGGTCATCGATCCCAGCACGCGGAGATGGCGCTTGGTGAATACGAGAGTCAAAAAGCATTAGCTCAGTATTTGCCAGACAACTCAGTCGTTCCGGTAGCTTTCGGCACATTCGAGCTGGACCCGACAAAGTCGTTCTTCCTAACAACATACCGTGAATTGAAGGAGAAGACGCCGGACCCAGCGGAGTTGATCAAAGTGTTGGCAAAGCTGCACATCGGCTCATCTTCACCGACAGGTAAATTTGGCTTCCGTGTCACCACCTTCAATGGCCATGTCCCGCCCCAGAACGAGTGGTGCGACAGTTGGGAGCAATGGTATAGTCGTCAACTCCAATCGGACATCAAATGGGAACAGAGCGTCCGAGGAGTAGATCCCGACTTTAATGAAGTCGCAGAAGAGTTCTTCGCAAAAGTCATACCACGTTTGCTGAGACCACTTCAATCTGGTGGTCGGACTATCAACCCTACTCTCGTCCACGGCGACCTATGGCATGGTAACGCCCAAGTTGACATGGACACCAAGCGGGTGATTTTCTTCGACTCCTGCTGCTGTTATGCACACAACGAATGTGAGGAAGCTACAAGTGTCAAAGGTGCGATCTGAAAGTGTCCACAGTGGAGTTGCACGTGATGAGGCAACCACGTTATCGATTCAACCAAGAATGTGTGCAGAAATACAAAGCGGTGATCCAGCCTTCGGAGCCCGTCGAGGACTTCGATGATCGCAATGCGCTGTATGCCATGTAAACATGCCTGTCGTCGTCATGATAGTTTTGGCCAGCTAACAGCCATAGGCGGGATGACGTTATTAATGCTGGGCTGCACGAGCATCGAGCTTACCTCCGTGATGAGTAAGTCCAAGGGATTGCAGGCGTGTCAGATACTGATTGTATCTTCAGGGTGAAGCAAGAAATGCTACGTCTTCTCGCAAAACATCCGGATGGCCTTGACGGATTCCATGACTCCTCCGCACTTTGAACAGAAAACAGCGGTTTTCGATGCTCTGGAAGCAATGACTCAGTTCCAAGCGTAGTGTTCGTCGGGAATGATATCAGTCTTGTCGTTCTTGCCGTCTCCCCATCTGAAAGAAGTGGTTTCCCGTCTTTGTGTCTGCAGAATGGGGTTGAGCCGTCCGAGTCTGGTCTTTAGTATGTTGGATCTATTATGCAAATCAGATGCAACTCCCCATAATACAACCGTTGGCAGTGCCCATGACTGAGCCTCACGAATGGCGCAAAGTACAAGGCTAACGAGGACATCGTCTCTTTGTCCCCCAGGCTCTTCTAGTATCCGAATTCTTTGAACGAAAAGGCGCTGCTTTCGAAAATCATGATGCCAGTAAATCCAAGCATTGGAGCTGTGCAACGCTCCTTAGACTGTGGGCGACTTCTTGTATATCTTCATTGCCATGAAGTCTGCCCTTTTGTGTTGCCAGTCGATCAAGTCCGTCGTTGGAAGTACGGTCATAATCGTGCGTCCTTCGGCGGTTCGCACTTTATCAACATCCAGCAATGTACGGGTGTCCTCTATGCATAGCTCGTCGATGTCGTCCGCGCATAGATACCGGATATTGTCTTGTATGCCGTGCGTCATGTAGAGGTCGTCGTCGATAGAGAGGTCGGTGGGAAGCACGATTGCAGGGGCTGGAACCGGAGTCCAACCAAGTCGGGCATAAAACTTGACATGGATTAGTACTCGTCGTAGTTGCTCTAGCAGTTACTTAGTGCTTCTTTGTTGCTGTAAAGCATGCTTGCGAGCGCGTCTCCAGGTCCATCCAGCCATTGAGCGAGGTTGTGTAGAAGCGCAGAAGCGCAACCTTGACTGCGGTGATTAGGGTGAGTAATCACAGAGGCGATACAGTAACCCTTCCCCCGGTGAGATCCATCGACATTCGTGACGAGCAGTTGCCGCTTCACGGTTTTGCAAGTTGCCAGCACTTGAGACTGATCGTCACTACGATACAGACACCAAGTTCGCACACCATCATCTTACGCAAGAGCTTGCCTGCTCATGAACTCTTCTCGCTCCAGGAAGCCGGTTTCGGAAAGCGGTTCCCCGAAAGCAGCAGCAGCCAGTTTGTCGCATGCTAACCGTTGGTGTTCTGTCGCCTCGCCGAAATTTACACTAGATGACATCGGTGCTTTGTGAGCAAAGAGAAGATGCCATCGGCCATTTGCATCGTATTGTGGTCAAGTCGTTGGATGGTGTCGGTCTTGAGTCGGGGTATCGTCATTTTGCCAGAAGACGCGTCGACCCGTGGACGCGTCAGAGCCCCCGAGGTCCGCGCGCCAAGACTACCTAGCCTGCCACGCGGTGTACGAAATAATCCGAACTCCTAAAGTCGCTGTTTGCGTAGCTTTGTAACTCTTTCTCTGTTAGAAATTATACTTTGCTTTAATAGTAAAAGCTGTAGAGAATTATAAGGGCTCTTTTTCTAGTTATTTAGTTACTTTTATTCTTTTATTGTTGTACTAATAGATTTAGTAGAAAGAGGGTAAGGTTTTATTGTTCCGCCTAAAGCGGGCTAAATTTGGTGAGGTAGGAGTCCGGATTATTTCGTACACCGCGTGCCTGCTTCCAAACACCTGACAGCTGCGCCAGCTTGGGGTACATTCGTTAACATGGCACTCCTGCAAGAATGCGCATTTCGCATGAATTAACTAGATAGTTTCACCATCGCAAGCGCACACTCTGTATTCCGATTAGCAGACAACGGGGCCCAGCCTGAACAGCAAGCCACAGCGCGCAGAGAGAAGCTCGACCGCATGAACAACATTTAGGTAAACGATTAAGTTTGATAGATGTTGATCTACAGAACTTGAGAAAAGAAAACTAGACTTGGAAACAACGGGACTCATTCTCCGCCTACTCATCCCAATTATGATAAGCAACGGGTGAGATATCCTGTCCACCATACGCAGTACCACCAAAGTCGAGGTAGCCCTGCGCCCCCGAATAAGGAATGCGCGCGATATCCTCATAATCGCCCATAACCCACACACTCTGCATACCCATAATCATATGCTGCAGCACATGACAATGGAGCATCCAGCAGCCCGGGTCCAACACCCTCAGTCTCCAGCAGCGCCACCCACCTTCCTCTCCCGCTGTGCCCTTGGTACGGTAGCGGTACAGGTTCGTAGTGTCGCGCCTGACGGGGTTGTAGTTCTCGAGCTTCTTCTCGTTCTCAAAAGGATCGAAAGTGCCGTTTCCGCTGCCGCAGTCGTAGAAATGCGCGCCGTGAAGATGGAACGGGTGGTAGTCGAAGCCACCGTTGTTGTCGACGAGAGAGCCGGTGTTCTCTAAGATGATTTCGATGACTTCGCCGAGCTTGGCGGGCCAGGTTAGCGTGTATGGGTCCCAGCCACCGTTGGCCATGGCGGCGGTGTAGTTGGGCATGGCTGCGGGGCCGTTCTTGTAGATGTCGACGAGGTAGGGCGGGCTGTTGGCGGTGGTCTCCTCGGTCCAGTTTAGGCCGTCGAGTTGCCAGATTGTAGTGGATTGCTTGAGTTGCACGTTGTTGATGTGAACGCGGCGGGTTATCTCCGAGGCTTTGGGGAAGTTGTTGGGGACGAGGGGCTCGAGAGCATATTCGAGGAAGTCGTAGGTGGCATTGGTGAAAGTCAGAGGGGCAACCGTGGGTGCGGTGGTGGTCTTGGGTCCTGAGCTTGGGTAGCGCAGGATACCGAAGCCGGTGTAGATTGCAGGTCGGTCTTTGGTCTCCCATTGCATTATGTATTCGGTCTGGTTGCCGAGCTCCTCTACTGTCTTTGTGCTGAAGAGAGCGTCGAAACGTTGGCCGGATGAAAGCATCATGTGGTCTGTAGTGTGGGGTTGCGTGTAGCCACCATCGGCTTCGATAACGTCGAACTTGGAATGGCCCTCGATACCGAACGATACCATCGATATGGCTGTTGCACCTACAAAGCGCATGCGGTAGGTCTTGCCCGGCTCGACTTCGATAACTGGTAGCTCACAAGTGCCCTCGCCAGCTGTTTCACCAATGGCAACACCGACACCATTTAGAAGCACTGCGTTGACCTCACCAGTCCACTTGAATGGCGTCGCAACGAGACCATCTTCCATTACCTCATCAGTCTTGTTGTAGTAGTCTTGGAGGAAGACGATGCGCTCTTCATCGTACTCAAACGGAGGAGGACCAAAGTCTTCGATGATGAGCGGCCCTGCTGCAGAGATGGCCTGGAAGCCGATATGAGAGTGGTAGAAGTAGGTTCCGGCATCCTCGACTTCAGGATGAATCTCATAGTCGAAGCATCTGTGAGGTGCGATCGGCCATTGGCTGACAGGTGAGCCGTCACTGAAAGGTGCAGTACGTTGACTGAGGCCATGCCAATGCTAGTGCGTATTAGTTATATAGTTGTGCGATAGTCTAGTTTATCCATACCATGGTTGTGTTGTACTCTTCCATGTCATTGCAGACTCGCACCCAACTCGTCTTCCCGGCTGGGAGACGTAGTTCGGGTCCAGGGGATGTACCGTTTACCAACGCAGACATGCGAGTCTGGCATGCTACAGTGTGGTTCTCGTATGTAACCGAAAGGTAGAAGTCCGGAGTGAACCCTCCATCGTGTGTGTGGAGACAGGAGTCGTTTCCTGTGGGGTAAGAACCGTTCGTTCCTGTTGGGTAGGGTGCATTCGGCTCTTCGCCCACGACTGAATGCGCCGCTCCCAGAAGCAAACCAAAGACCAAAGAGGTGAACATCTTGGACGAGATGCGATGAACTGAAGTGAGGTATCGTGTAAGCACTGCCCAGCCTTATAAGCACACCTCCTAATATAACACGTCAAGGTGGCGCGCCTCCTCTGGCGGTGCACAATCTGACACAGCTAGTTTACCATCTACGAACCGTGATCTACGTCAGCATCGCTGACGGCAGGGTTAGACCCATGAGGGCCGTTAGTACAGCCCAACACTTCCTGGAGAAGGCCCGAGATCTCGCCGAACGCGAAAGCTACCGTCTAGATGGCAATTAGTTTGCGACCCTGCGTCCGTCCACAACATCGCGAAACATATTCTCCATGTTCAGCAGAGCATCAGTACGTTGTATACAAAAATACTTGCGGCTGTCAAAATAGAGTTGCCATCGTCGCGTGGAGTTTAGGTTTCCTGCTAACGCACCGTAAGCCCCCTATCAGACTTGGGTGCGGACCGAATGGCGGTTCTTACTCGCCATTGCAATTACCGGATCGTCCGGGAGGTACTGTAGAACAGATGGAAGTCGACTAGAAGCACAGAAGTAATGAATAGCCTGAATGGTGATGAAGACAGTCTCGCCGGGCCCCTGATCATCAAACCTTGAGAAGCACCGACTATAAGTACAACTTTGTACCATCTGCAGCCTTACCCAACGGCAGTTCTCCCTCTATATATACATCGGCCCTCCTCTTCTGAAACCGCGTCGCATCGTCAACGTCATCGATATCATGTTCGCCCAATTCGTCTTACCGTTCCTCGCGATGCAGATGCTCGCATCAGCAACTCCGCATCAACACCGAAGAGCCAACGGCGTCGAGATTACGAGTCTGACAAAAAATGTCACATCGACTAGCGGAACCGGCAATGTCGCTGCGGCGGGTAACCTTTCACCATTTGGCGACATTGGTGTAGGCTGCGGCATCAACTGGCAAGCCGATGTGTCGTATGGAGGTATGTATTCCAATTACTATGCGGCCGGTTTTAACTAACGCACGCGATACAGGCGGACTCCAGGCTGGCTCCAGCGACTTTGGTCTGGGAAGCGGCTTCAACATGACCCCGGAAGCCATCATCATCGGCGCTGGAATCGGCATGAATGCGGCGAACGCGAGCGCGAACATCCAGTTTCATGGGTCGAAGAACGGAAGCGTCGAGCTAGTATTCGAGAGTTCCGCACCGATCGTGTGCACGCCAGGGTTCAAGGATGGAAAGTCGACTGTTTCATGCAAGACAGTGTCTGTGTAGATGGCGGCAAACTAGGAAAGTTTGGTCGATACCAGATGCACCGTGTGGAGTATACGAAGTAGTTGGGAGGGACGAGGGGTGGAGGAATGGGAAAGAGAAAGAGCAGAGAGGAGATGGCCGTGCGACTAGCGGACCCCGCCATTGCATGAGGTACGGGGAATTTGATCTTCGTCTCCATCCTGCAGATATCGTAAATCTTGATATTATTTTAATAGAGAACTTGAAACAGTGCATGCCTCTTGGGGCGCACCTACAAGGAATCGAGCCTCATACTCTCGATTCATCTTGACCCTTTGGATGCAACTCCTCTCCAAACGCAGTCCCATCGGCTGGATTTTCATTTTGCGCTTGCGGTGTACTTCTTCAGGATGAAGCCGAAGTACTGGAAAGTGTCGCCTCCACCCATGATCTCCATCTCAAGATCCCACTCGTTATCCCGATTCAGGATAGGCTTGATGAAGTGTGGCTGGCGGTATGTGATGTAGAGAAAGACACCGTCATCTTTCAATACCCTCCAAACCTTTGCGCAATTAGCATACGTCGAAGCTTTCAAACTTACGCCTCACTCATTTACTCACCTCGCTAAGATATCTGCCGCTGTTCTCCATAACCTCCTCGGGTGGACTCCATGGACTGCCGTAGATCATGGCATCTAGCGTGCCTTTGTCAAAGGCGACATCCACGGAGTTGCTGTCGATACCTTTCATATCCCGCACATCGCCAACTCTCCACTCTACTTGGGGTTCATCGGAGTGCCGCGATTTCATCAGATCGACTACTATTGCGGAGAAGTCAATGCAGAGCTGGTTTGTATAGCCTCGCTTTAGGAGATCGTATGGGACGGTCTGGCCACGGGTCAGTCGTCTGGAATATGTAATTGCAAAACCAATTCGCGGGTTGCTAGTGAATATGATGTGATGTGAGGTTGAGTCAGGCTATCATCGCTTGGCTGTTGGAGTCTGTGCTGCTCAGGGCGTTCCGCAATTTGATGATGGGAAAACCTACACTATCGCCGCTGCCCAAATGAAGAATTTTCCCATCCTTCCCCTCTTCCTTTGTCTTGTCGAACAGATGCTTCTGGAAGAACGGCTCTAAGTCCTCGAAAGCGCGAAACCACTCATGTGTTGGCTTGGTCCCGTCGGCCTTTGCATACCGTTGGTCCCAAAACTCTGAATGGCCGAGCGCTTGCGCCTCGTCAGTACTGGACGGCATGGTGTATTTAGTCTAGATCGATCTCTGCGCATTCGTTTAGAGAAATCTGAAGGGCGACAAATGCTTGCGCAATCGTTGGGTTAGAAGGATTAGGTGCTGTGCAGTTGCGGCGCAGCTGCTGGTCATTTCGGGGCAGGGATGTGGGCGGACGTCCGCACGTGCGTGCTCCGCTTCTTTAGGTGACGACGCGGACGGGGCAACACGACCCTACAAACACATTCACTGCTAACCATCTGTCTCGATATTGCCTGCGAATATTTGCGTCAAGTGTTGTACACACAGGAATGGCATGCGCATCACCCGGCGCCAAAGACGTGCGCGACAAAATTGGACCGCTTGCGGGTTCTCGCGAGGAAGCACCTACGAACATGCGTCTGCGCCGAAACACTCCCCCGCAACCCTCTAAATCGAACAGGCCTCATGGCTGTATTTCAAGCCACATCAGGCTAGAGCTAAGCAAGTCGTTGTAGCATTGGCATACCAGCTACTGTATTTCCCCACCTTCGAAAGAGACGTGTTGACTCTATTGTACGTGCATGCGTGGACGAGTGACGGTGGTGCGCGTGCGGAAGCTTGAGGAGACATTTCAAGAGCTAGCGACAGCTCGGAAGATTCATGATACTGTAATGGTCTAGCAACAGAGCTGTGTCCGGTGAGGGTGAACGGTAACACGAGCAAGGGCACCTTGCAGAAAAAAAGCGCGTGATACCAAGGTTGCGAATACGTGTAACAGAAGAGCGAAAACAAGACGCGCCAAACCGGTAATGTCTGAGAGAATAGTGCTTCAGGCTCCCCATATCTCATCAACAATGCTCCAAACAGTCGCGTCCTGGACTTGATGAGGCCATGATCCCACAATCGTCCTCGCAGCGCCATGCAAAACCAACACGAATACCAGAAAGGTCTGCCAGAACAACGCCGCGCTGGAAGGATGAGGAGAAGGTTGCTACCATTCTGTTGCAAAATTGTCAGCTCATCATCTAATCACGACTTATCTGGACATGAGCGCTCACAAGGCATTGGCAATATTGACAGCAGTCACAGACCTATACATATTTACCTGCCTAGAAGATGGTCAGTTGGATGCATTTGGGGCAGAGCAGGAAAGACCGTACGGGCACGCTTACCCATGGCATCACAGCCATGCTCGCCCATAACGCCAAGGTCATGGTTAGCCACAGCAGTACGGTCATGATGACGACGTGTTAATGCCTGTGCAACCAGACTCGCAGTCCTGTCCCGCCCCGATGTCACCTGTAGGCCCAGTTGTGTTCTGAGTCACAACAGGGGCTTCAGGACAGCGGCAGCAGGACGACCAGGCCAGTATCCCGACCAATGCGACCACAGCGAAGTAAAACTCGTGGTCAGATTCTTTCCTGATAAGACCCATATCACTGGATCGCGATGCAGAAATTTCGCTGTATATCACGGCCTTCCAAGGTTCTCCTGGGTGTGAGCTTGGCAGATGGTAGAGCGGAGGTGATAGAGCTAGAGCAGCAGTGATGGTTACAGGCGGCGGCGGCGAAATCGTACAGGCGCAGATATGGCCGTGGTAACAGCTAGGTACCTAAACTGGGGATTTCCTTTTTTTATATAGAAAATAGATGCTTGTGTCGACTTGCATTGAGCAGTCGGGGACAAAGATGTACATAAGGACTACCCAGGTGTTGTACAAAGGTTGTCGGAGTGGAGTATTCGGTCGAGGCGCAGAGGGACGTACCTCGCCGGCACAATCATCTCATTTTAGCACAGGCAGCAGTCACAATGTTCTTGTCACGCTCATCTTTCGAGTGGGTCGGTCCATTGCGCATAGCCTCCCACCGGTGCGTTTACTTAGGTAGCAGGCTTAGGAGAACATGCTGAGGACAAGGCATATACGGAACTCAATGCCAGTACACTCTAATTGATGATCCTGGGCTTTCGTGGAGTACCGCATATGCTGGTCACACATGACGAAATTAAACCAGCTGCTCTTGCTCGCTATCCACTCGGGTAGCGAATCAGGTTCTCCATATCCAGACTAGGTCTGTCGTACTGCAAAGCCACAGACTGACGCGCCTTCGGTTTGATGAAGTAACCTGAAGGTAATGTATGCCCCGCGCTCCCTTCTTGACCGGACACAAACTTTCTCTTTCCCACTTTACACTTCCCATTTATCAACGACGACACCAGCTCCACCCGTTTTGAACTGTACAGTATAGTGGACGATGGGTTCTCAAGGACCGAGAAACAGTGTACAAACACCCCATGAGCTTGGAATCATAGCGCTAGCTGTCCTTGGAATGTTTGCTAACACCACGATAGTACGCGAAGATCACTGGAAAGACCGGTTCCGTAACGGGCAATACCGTCGAAGAGTCCACCACTGGAATACGACATAAGGCCGGACATAAGTTCGTAAGGGCATCTGGGGATATCGTTGCTAGCGAGCACGTTCATGATAGTTCGACTGGTGTTTTGGTCAGAAAGGACGCAACAGGTACGATGAGCATGGAGAAAACCGGAAGAATCGATGCCGACAATGTCAAAGGGTCATCGACTGGTATAGCTGATGACGATTAGATGCTTTACCAATGTTACTATCGCGTCCTGAATCTCTCAGTGGGTCGCACACACATAGAGATCGTATACTGTGACTGTATTGTTCGTCGTAATCGATACCCATATCATTATTCCTACTGCCTACTTCGACTAACACAATGATTGGGCAAACTATAGTGTTACTACATGTTCTTCAGATTCATCGTCCTGGGTCACATCGAAAATCCATTCCCAGTTCTATCATAGTTTTTGGTGCTTGCTTTTTGATAAATAAATCCTGCCAGCATATGATGAACAAAGTCCGCCGGTGATACAATTTATATACGTCCAATCTTTTCATGCGACTGATGTCCCCAGTGACACTGGTCATCGGATGATAAGGCCGGTATTGATGTCACTAGAATCGAAGCCAACTTCCACAGAGCCAGTCTCTCTTGAAATCCTTGCTGAAAAGGGCGAGTCGGATGCCTGATAACATGTTAGAGCCATGCAAACTTCGAAACAACATAATGATACCGGAGCCAATCCTTGAGGACTGTCCGCAGCAAGAATGTGGCAGCACATTGCAGGCGAAGCCGGAGTGTTGGAACTTTCCACTTACAAAACGTTTGAGAGAGATACCAGTGTTGACACTATCAGCGCGACCACCAACTTTGATATTCCCTGTCCGCCCTGATATGTGTGCGTAACTCTTTAGATTACTCGCTGGGAGGGCCCCACCTGGGTCCGCCTGCCTGGATTCCACCATCAATTCCGTTTCTGTAGGGATAGTTAGTTTTTTACTTGGTAAATGCCCACCAAATTTTGACCCATTTGAGATTCCAACGGAAGGGACAGTTTTAGAATGTGCCGTACCGCATGAAGATCTGGATATCTCTTCTTGTAGCCGAAAGAAGGCTTTCTTACTGCCTTCACCGTATAGAAGCGGCATATGAACGCCAAATATGCCCAGCAAAGAGTAAGCTAGATCCTCTTCTCGTTTTGTTGAACGCGTTTTCGCCCACGATAATCGCTCTTCGACGCTCATCTTGAATAGATCACCACCCTGCAGGACCTGTGGCGGTATCTTTGTTATACGCTCTATCTCTTGCAACAGCGAGGATTTATCGCCGATAAACTCTCCCTCTACAGTGTAGAAGCCGATGACCTTCGGGGCAACAAGCTCCTGTAGCGTCCATCCGCGAGTGAACCATCGGCTGGCTTCGAAAGAATGGCCATCCTTGATCGAAACGTCGGACAAGTAGACGTAGCATTTGGCTGCTTCTTGATACCAGCGAAACATCGAATTGATAGCTTCTGAGAGCTCTGCGCTGCTCGATTTGTCGATACAGCAAGTATCAACCCAGAAATACTCCAGACCATCTTTAGCGGCTTGCTTTGCGCAAAAGATAATCTTGGTATAACCGGCTTTGCGGTCTATACTATCTGTGATGTCCTTCAGAGTGGCCCCGTCGTTGATATCTCTTAGGGAAACCTCGTCCAGATCTGAAGCCCACGTATGAGAAAGAATGCCGTAGCGTGGTATGTCTTTCCCCAGGAACTCCACCAGGCTGAGAACATCGCTTCGCAGATGTAGGAGACGCATTCAGAGTGATTTTGAGAAAGCAATGCCAGTCAACAGATATGTATGCGAAGAAGCAATCACGATCAGAAGTCGGTAGGCGGAGGCGTCGCGCGATCAGAAATTGCGCATGTAGCTACAGTGCAGTAGCTGCGCAGAGGTTACACACTCGAATGAAGGTGAAATGATGTAGATGACGTAGGGATGGTGAGTATGGCAAGGAGTAACGAGGCTGAGGGAAGGCAGCTTTTACTATAGCTGAGCCAGGTGGGCGGGCGCCGCGCAAGCAGCATAAGTAGCCGGGGTTGGTGTCACCTAGAACAAATCATTCCTCTTCTCCATCACCAGAACTACCAACGCCCAAGTGTGCCAATTATGAACCAACAGATCTTACCAACATGTACAACATGTACAGCATGTGTCGACCAATTATTGCCTGAGAGCGATGGTTTGTTGCCAAGTAGACGTAAAAGGAAAATGACTGCCAAGGGTAATGGGTGCGCAGGCCAAGTGCGCTTGCGATACTCAGAGGGGCTGTGAACAGCTGCCTTGCTCCGGTGAGCATTCTCCGGTGAAACTCAGGCGAATGGAACCGACAGAATGGGTCAATGTTCTGCCTAGCATCCGCCCCAGTGTCATGGAAGTGGGAAAACATGTACCTTGTTGTTCGTAACGTTGTGCTCACCTTTGTCTCGCAGCAGCGAATAATGTAGCATGCTTCATGAATGCCTAACATAACACTTGATCTGTATCCCTAAAAGCTCAACCTCCGGCAACTACAGCCAAACCCTCATATATCTGCCTCCTGACCCTAGAGAAAGTCGCTGCATCATTATTCCTTGGATCCAGATTACCATACGCCCCTCCATCAATCTCAATCTGACCAGTAGCTGTCTTCCTCACAGCTACTGTTCCGTTAATGACCAACACGCCCTCGCCTCTAAATTCGGCTTGCATGCCATTAGCATTCATGAGCTTCCTCAGATCAGCAAGGCGAAGATCGCCGACATGGAAAGGTTGTGCAACGGATCGAACAGCGGTAGCCATATTCGTAGGAACGACGTCGAGAATGGGTGTCTCGTCATTCTTGTCGCTAGATACGGGAACGGCAGGGGCGTCGAGTCGCGCCTTCTTCTTCGCAGGCGTATCTGCCTCTTCCTTGACTTCTGGCTCCAGGCTTGCAGCTGCGAGACGACCAGTGATGGCGACGACACCCATGCCGCGAACGTTCTGCCAACGGAGGTTGCGCACCATACTGCGGCTGAGCTTGACACTCCAGGCGTTCGTGTCGACACTGGCGTCGATCATCACGCCGACTGTGGGTGTGAAGACATCGATGGCGTTGGCAGAATCGGTGTTTGCGTTCAGCGCTATGCGACTGATCTCTGCAAGCTCCAGAGTCTCGCCTTCCTCACCACCCACGAAGATGAGCTTGCGAGGCTTGATAAGTGGGATAAGCTGTTGAATCGTGCGGCGGTCGTGTAGGCCTGAAAAGTCGACAAAGGCAATGCGACACCGGATTTCCAGGGTTTCCGACTCAATGATGACTTTCGATGGGCCTTCCACTTTGTCCGGATCGTCTTCTGGTTCGCTGTCCGATTCTCCGTCCTCGCCTTCTCGAGCCTCTTTGTCTTTCCGTCGTTTTTGATTGGCGTTGGCCTTGTTAGTGTCGGTGTTGTTCAGTAGGTCGTCCCACCTCCTCTTCTGGCCAACAGCGTTCTCCTTCTTGGTTCCCTCCCCACGAAGAGCTTCCCCAGCAGTGTTGTCTTCCTCTTCTGCGCGCGCAAAATCTTCGGGTCGGATCAGATCACCAAAGTCGTCCGCTCGACGCTTCTTGGCCTGGAACGGGAACATCTTCTCTTTTCCTTTCTTTCCTTGGACTTCATAGTCGTGGACGTTCTTGCGGCGTAAGAGTACGTTGACACCCAATTCCGCGTCTGTCATGCCAAGCTTGTTTCGTGCATGTTGAAGAGCGACGGTCGCATTGAGGGCTTTTCCTCGGTATCCATCACCAGAGCCTTCCGAACTCTCTGACTCGGTGGATGATCGGTCGTCGACAACATCAGCGGATGTTTCGAGCATTGCTGCATTATCACCGCCCATGGTAGTTTGCCGTTGTCTCTGGCCGGCAAGGAACTGCTGATAAAGCGGAACCTCGTCTCCCTCGAGTGCGACTGTCCGTATAGTATTGAGCGGCGCTTGATCGCCCGCGGCGTCGACTATGGTTGTAGAAGGAGCGTCATGCCCTGGCGAAGCGTTGCGCTGGTTCCACAGTTCCCAGAGATATCGGCCGAGACCCTTCTTCTGAGCGCCCAGTTGGCCAGCTCTTTCAGTGAGGATGACCAAGTTCTTTTCGTCGGCCGCCAGGCTTCGAATAGCATCTTTAGAGAATCCCCACTCGAGCGTCGCATCACTTGCTAGTATCACTCGCGGTCCATTGGCGCCTAGCATCCTAGCTACGCGGGTCTTGCGCTCAACCAGTGTGATATGTTTGAAGTCGAACGGGACTCTGGCGCGGTCTTCCTCTTTGCCGCTTTTGTTCCTCCGATCTTGATCCGCAGCGCTGGCTTCAAACTCTTTCACGATGCCCTCCTCCATCCATTCCAACATACTGCGTACGTATCGCATTGTTGCACCACCCGTTCGACTCGCAAGATAGACTTTTGCGCTTTGTAGTGAACCGCCCCCTTCGGCGTTTGTTGCCTCCCGCTCCCATGTTTCCTCAAGAAGATAGGCCAGTTCCAGTATACGAGCACTCGAGTCTGAGGGGATCAAGACGGTTCCGCCCTTGGCCACTGTGTCTTGAATCATCTCGAGGAGGGCCTCGTCTCGCTTGTTGGGCGATCTAGCCACCTTGACCATACTGGTGTTTTTGCTGCTGCAGATCAAGGCAGTTGGACGGCGCAACTGCTCCAGAACTTCAGAGCCACCAGTGCCAGGCCCTCCGAGCCAAGCAGCTCCGGAGAGGACATGCTCTCTGGCTTGGTTCCAGTCGACGGCATAGACGACCGACTCCATCCCGTGCTGTATGTGCCATATTGAACCTCCCAACGTGTGTCCAGCGCTGTATGCGGTAATGGTGAGACCATTGAGCGGAGGCGAATGCGGCGAAGGGATGGGTTGATGCGGTTGGGAATATCGAAGCGGATTTATGCGCGCGAAGTAATCGGCAATCTCTTGCGACGTAGGCGCCTGGAGAAGAATGTTGGGATTCTTTCCACCCGTGAGCGCCGAAGAGAAGGAGTATGCGGACTCGCTGAGAGCTTCGGTGGGGATAATGGACGAGGCGAGCGGCGTGGATTCGTACAGGTCTTGGAGCAGCGTCCGGCCGAGCGATATGACGGGGTTGGTCGCGTAGACGGGGATTCGCGTGAACAGAGGGAAGTTCTTGCAGCAGTGGACGTAGGCTCCGAGATGCGCAGTGGTCGCGTGAGTAAGCAGGATGAATGAGAGGGTGGGGACATGTCTGCAGTATCTGAATTAGTCATCGTGTATGTATCGTGTATTGCTATATAGCGACTTTGCTACCCGCTGCCCGTGTTTCCCAGGCGCGTGCAGCACATATGAACAGCCCATACTTCAGCTGTGCTCCACATCGCGTTCGCAGCCAGATCAAGGACCTACCTCTCTATCTCTTTGAGCTTCTCTACACTGAAATCTTCATCCCAGCCAACATCGATCAAGATTTGTATGCCTCCATCGAACTCCAGCAACGACTGCGACGCGGGTGAGGAGCTCTGTGCGCCCAGTAGGGGCGTGAAGTTGAACATAGTTGCAGCCGCTACTCAGTGTGATTTAGGCGACTCTAAGTCTCTGTACGCATGGTGTTCGCACGCTGGTTGATATGGTGAGGCGGTGATGTTGTCTCGTTAGTTGATGCTTGAGCAGTGACAACATGGCCGAACGCGTCTAAGCGCGTCGGAGCTCGGGGACCAATTGATCCGCGCGTCTGATCCCAGATCACGTGAACATTACCACCCTGCTGTCCGTACCACGAAAAGGCACCACGAGCGACGTACCGCCTACCTCATAACAATTTGCAAAGTGGGCGATACAAGCTGCTGTTTTTGGAGCTACGACACAATACCTGCTGCGGCAGAGCTCGTCAATCACCTAGGTAAGCCCGAAACACATCCACCCAACCCTCGCAGCAGCACCTGCCGCTAGAAGCATTTCTACACCCACATCGTTTCCGTCTACTGGGTTTGTTTTGGTGTGGTTCATTAGCTCCTGCCTATGGTATGCAACTTGTACTGCAGGTCGACCCTGGAAGAGTCAAGCAGGCCCCGCCGCATACGTGTTCGCAGACAGCGGCAACAAACAGTCCCGTACTTTTCGAATTTAGTCGATCACCCGCCCGCGCCTGCATCCGCTGGGATATCTAGGGAGCCGTGGTTTCCTTATGGTAAGCAAACATGCACTGTGTCGGCCAGGTAGAAGTCTTGTGAGGGCGTTACGAGGCACACCGAACACTATCAGGATATAATTGTGAGTAGCAGCTCGGAATCTTCGTATGAGGCTGCAAATGAAGTCGCGTTAGCATCCAAGGCGGAACTTCGGAACGAGACCGGCATGCAAAGCACTCAGCCCGCGCCACAAACATGCAGGAGTCGCACTGCGCATTCAACAAACCTCATCCTGGCTCATGTACACCAGACACGGGTGGCCTCCAGGACAAGAACACGTCTGATCATCTCCTGATATTGTACCCACGCAAGTACCGGACAAGACGTCATGACAGATGTCAAACGGAATGGTCGGTAGTTTTCACGAACCGTTCATGGAACCCTTGATACTACTACTGCGAGTCGCCCAACTCCAGGCCAGACATGTTTTGATCATGGCTCAACACTTGCTGCATATGCAGCCGTCTGCACCTGTTGTCTGCGTCAATAGTGTTGGCGAATGGGACGGGAAGTGACCCCGCAGCCAAAGCACGCCGCTAAGGTCCTTATGCAAGTCATTCGCCTGTCCCCTTCGGCTGCATACGTCCGTCATTTTCGTTACGCAAAAACGGGCTAACAACGGTCAGCCATCGGGGCGCCGCTATCACCACGCAGGGACAATTGTCTGACCCATCTTTCTTGAGTTCATCTGATCTCTGTGTCGGTTGTCAGAATACTGTGCAATAAGTCGTGTGCTACGTCATGCACTCGTCGAGACGGGCATTTACTTCAGAGAAGACCACTGCTGATTCCAAATTGGGGACGGTAAGATCGAGAATGGGAACTAGGCTCCACCTTGCGATGAGACGGCGGGTCCGAGACATGATACTTTTCATCGAATCATGCCAAATGAGGAGCTTCGACAACTTGATTCACGGTCATCTGCCGGTGGTGGGTCTAGGCACTTGCGAGCGGTTGTCGAAGAACGCCGTAGCATGCTGCCCAAATCACATTTCGACGCGATTCAAGACTGCAAAAACCTTGGTCTTTGAGAGCATGCCTGACCATCTCGTCACGCAAGGAGAGGCGGCTTGTTATCGGGCTCTGCACTCGAGTCCGTCAAAGCTTTCGGCTGGGACCGAAGTCAGGGTACTGCGGAAACCCGCCCTGGAGCCAGCTTTGGGAGCGTGCCTTTGTGCCCGTCGTCCCGCTCCGGCCGCAAAGTAACCAGATCCTCAGCACGCAGGGAAGTCCACCGTGCGACACCACGGTTTCGAAAGCACGAAGCCCAAAAAGCGGAAGCCCTTGCTTGAGAATTGACATCTATACTGCTCGCGAAAAAAATGCCCAACCCAACGACAAAATATTGCAGTGCTCGGATCGCGACCTGCTGATAGGCTTACCAATTGCGGGGAGGGTGTATGCGAGCTTATGACATCTCAAACAAACTTTGGCCGGCCGTTAATCGCTGGACCTACCAGACGCTGCTGTCATTATTGTGATGATCTTCAGGCCTCGCAATCCCTGACGTGCCAGGTGTGGCTTGATGCTGGAAACACTCGATGCGGCCTGGTCGGGATGTCAGCATGTTAAGATCGTCTTGCCGGCTGCGCTCAATAACTCTCTATAACCAGATGACAAGGTCCGATTCGACCGGATCGCAAAGGTGGAGAAGTAGTGTCGTCAGGTCACACACACAAGACATCGCGGAGATGTAGCACGATGGGCTGGGCATCCTAGCGTGGGGCTGATTATCGGCTAGGGGCGCCTCAAGTATCGCGTACCGACTAGCCATTTGCGTGCGCGGCCGTGAAATGATGGCGTTTGTGTGGTGATGGTGGATAGCACATGGAGCAATTCAAATACATGGCGAACCGGATCTGATTGTCAGCGATTGAGCGATCAAAGTAGTGCGTCGCCGGGAAAGGTGTCCTACGGCGTTTGCACAAGACCTGCTGCTGATCCTGAATTGTCCGCCTTGAGCTGAAGACGGTGCAGCCAACGAGATCTGAGGAGTGGCTAGGCCTGCGAACCAAGATATGAAGCCGCTCGAAAGCGATTCATGCACCATTCGATACATACACTAGGAACATCACGTTTCAATGCTCCACGAGGTTTACAGCCTCCAGACGACTTAGCGCTCACACCGGCGACTGTTCACGAAGCCAACTGCAGCCCTCGCTACGTCTTGGGTTGTCGTCAACACTGTCCTTCGCCTGCCCGGTGCTTCAAATCGAGCGTCGGCCTACTCACTGTTTTAAGTCGACGGCGGCCCAGGGCGATGGTTACAGCGGGACCAGTGGACTCGTTCTAGGATTATCCTCCATTACCATCATTAGAGGCGAATTGGTGTCGTCGCTGCGACGCTACTTGAACACACTATATCCTCTCGCCTTTACCTTGCTGCGCAACCCGGTTCGAAGCTATCCAGGCTGCACATTAATACCTAGCGACAAATCCCACTCGTTCAAGCAGATCTCCTCTCACACACTTTCTGTCGCTTCTCCGCACGCCCACGCTACTTACAACCCCCCTGGGTGTACGACATCGACATCGACCGCTTACCCCGTTCCAATTCCAACATAACTGGCTTTCGCCCACCCCTGCTCTCGCACCGGGTCTGTGTTCAGCTCAGCCGTTCATCTCGGAACGACGCAGTTTTGCCGTTAGTTCCACCCAGATCCTATTGGACGTTCCGCGGACGCCCACGACTCGCTAAAGACGCATTCCCCCGCTCTCACGCAACCTACCGTGCGATCGCTCGAGGCATCAGGAGCGGACCGCTTGGACCCCTCTGCGACACTCTGCTCTACTCTCGTCGGAACAGCTGCCGCGTCGTTCTACCACTTGTACTATTCTGCTTAGCATTGAACGGCAGAAGTACAAGATACCCCCTGGTTGCCACTCGTTGCATTGAATCGTTCTCGGCTCCGACGCATCTAGAGGAACATCACTCTTTCGTGTTACCACTCGCGCGCAGAACGGACTGGACACCCAATGCGCGCTTCTTCGCACCAGTAGTCCAACAACCTTCCCAACTCTGGCTCGAATGATCTCGACCGTTTCCTTCGGCCCTTCGCCGCCAGGCGCTCGCAACCGCTTGAGCACAAGCTCATCGCCCCAGCCCTCCATGTCGTCCGCTAGCGACTCCCCGTTTACCACTCCCAACTTCGATTCGAACATATTTAGCCCGTCGGAATCACAATCAGAGGAGCGATCAGATGTACGAACGGGTTCCCTCGAAGTAGTACCCAAGGTGGAAGAGACGGAACTTCAGTTGGCCGATGTCAAGGAAGAGGCGTCTCCGGAAGACACACCCATCTCCCCAACCGAACCTGTACGGATTCGCCGCGCCCGCGGCCGACCCAGGATACACCCTCCTCGCTCACCTACCACTCTTGCTAAGCAAGCAAAAGCCCGATCGAAGACGGGGTGCACAACATGTCGGAAAAGGAAGAAGAAGTGCGACGAGACCAAGCCATTCTGTAATTGTGCCCTGGCATCGTGATCATGGAACAGGTACTAATGCTGTCCAGGCCTGTCGTGTCAGAAGAACAACATCCATTGCGAAGGCTACAAGCCCGTCGAAATCTGGAAGAGTGGGAAGGAACGGGCTGCAGAAGGTATGTGGTCTTGCATTGCGTGTTTGCTTTTTGGTAGTGGGCCAAGCTAACCTTCCAACAGCTCGGAAGCGAAGTTCGGATGTCAAGTTCGACCTCCCGCCTCTCATGGAAGGAGTCGAAAATGATCTTGACCGTCAGCTTTTGCAACATTTCTCCAGCAGAGCGAGTGCTGTCCTAACGTTACACGGGGACAAGTCGTCGAACCCCTTCACCAAGATCCTATTGCCCATGGCACTTCAACACGAAGGCCTGATGCACTCCGTGCTGTGCCTGTCGGCCTCTCACATGTACTCGGTCACTCCACTACAGGAGTACGAGGACAGGCAGGTCTTTCACCGGGGCAAGGCTTTGCAGCTTCTCAAGCACGACATTGAACGGCAAAAAGCTGGTGAAGGTGGTGTAATGGTCTACGAGGACTCTAACGTTGCTCAGATATTACTGCATCTTCTGCATTCCATCTGCGATGGTAACACTTCCGGCGAATACCGGATGCACATGATAGCAGCAAAACAGATCGCCATGACACAGAAGTCTTCCAACCCCGAGTTCCAGACCCTGTTCGACGAATTCTTCTACTACCACTGGATCGCCAGTCAGATCACCTCCCTTGACGGCACCGAGGTTCCCATGATGGACGACTTCAACCTCCCTTTCAAGATCAGCCCGGAGACCGCGGGATTGATCGGTGTTTCTGACGGACTCTTCGGCTTCATATCCAAGATCAGCAACCTGCGACGAAAAATACGCAGTCGCATTGACGAC